TGTCGTCTCCTCGGTTCCCCTTCTCTATGTCCAACTTTTGACTCGTCTCTACATCACTGCCTTTTCTGTTTCCACTCTGCTCCATGTTACTTTCACCAGTAGAGCTCTCTTCCAATGATACCCTCTCATCACGTCTTCCTGCTGCAGTTTTACTCTTCCCCGTCTTTTCCTGTGCTACTGTTTCCAAGCTGCTCTGCTCCCCGGCTCTCTCCTGTTTAATTATACCAAAAGAGACTGGTTGAGGGTTGTCTGGATGATCAATGGGGGTCTCCATCTCCACCTCCTCCACTTTCACCTGCACTGCAATGACTACAGAGACAGAATTAAGTCAGCAACGACCAAAACTGACTCACAAAAATAAGAAAACATCAACAGTATGTTCGTATTAGTTTGCCCACTTACTCTCCTGCTCTTCTGGCTCAGTCTTGGGCTGGATGAGAGGCACTTTTGGAGGAAGACTTGGGCCTTCTAGCCTTGGAGGACTGTCATTGTCAGTGACCTCAGGCTGCTGACCAGCATCGTCTTTGGCTTGGTCCTGAGAAAGCCTCTTCTTTGCACCCCTCTTTTCTATACACAAAAAAAAAAACAAGGTGAAAGAAACTTTCTGTAACTGTCAGACATAAGAAAAAGCTAAATGTGATGGCAGAACTGTTTGAGGCAAGACTCCATATGCATTTCTGAGTCAAGACTTACTCTTTTTCCCATATGCAAAGGGTTTGTATTTCTTGCTCTGTGCTGCCTGGGTTTCGATTAAATCAACTGAAAAACACAATGAAACACTTTTAGAGATGCTAGTCGCTCCTCTGTGACAGTGGTACACTACAGGGACAGTTTTCTGCCTCATTTCGTCTTTATTCTGATTTAGGTGTGTAATTCTGATTCAACTGTAATTTGGATTATTGGTGGAATTGAACTCTTCAACACACTCGGGGGTATTGCTATTTGATGAGGTGTTTACCGTGTCCAGGAGGCGGCTGGAGCTGGTAGCCCACGACGTCGCACCAGCCGACGGGGTAGATATCTGGGGACTGGTAGTCGATCCACTGGTCGAACTCATCGTCCCAGCCGTCAAAGTGGATGAGCAGCAGGCGGCCCACGTAGCGCTTCACGGTGGCCACACATACCAGGCGCGGCTCCATCAAGTCCACCGCCTCCAGCTTCATGTTGGGAGAGAAGCTGTGACCCTGGTAGTCCTGAAGAGAGACAAACTGTGGGTTCATATGCTGTTTGATGTCTTTTAGTACGAAATTTCAAAAACACAAACAGAAGGACTGCAAGTTGCAAATGGCAATTGTGACTAAGGAAAACAAACTGTGGGTGTGAGCACATTGATATGTTGCTAAATAGAGAGAGCAATTTCAAATGCTGCACTAGGTTTGGACTTCATGTCTTACAGTGTTAAACAGTCGAGCCGGTGCAGCTTTCGATGCAGTCTCCTTCAAGTACTTGTCCCAAGTAAAGGTCTGAGAGTCATAACCTGTCGAGACACAAAGAAATCAGCAGGTATTTTAATTGATTGTATAGTGCAGGATACAGCATGGTAAAGCAAATCAGTACCAGCAGAAAGTGTGAGCTGAAGCTGAATGAATAGGCATGTTTATATTTACCTTGAGGAACCGTGAGAGGGATGTTGTTCGTTTTACAGAAGTGTACAGGAAGGATGGCATGAGATGAGGCGTGGTAACAAAACCAGTCAGAGCCGTTGTTTGATGTGGTTCCATCGATTCCCACCATCAGGTAGCCATCTAACAGCACCTGGGAGAAGTGGAGGGCAGCAGAGTGAAGGTCCAACTCAATGATTTTTTGACTGCTGCCAATGTATTCTAAACACATAATTGTTCAAACAGAGCAGTCTAGTCTGTCAGATGAGATTCAAAGAAGGTTAGACAAACACAACACACAAAACCAACACAACAGGAAGTAGCTGTCTTACCTTGTGTACAGTAGCCACACAAATATTTCCAAGGTTAAGAGGATCAATGGCTTCCAGCTTCATTCCTTCCTCAAAGAAACCTCCCGCCATGTAGACAAACCTGGGCTGCGGATCACACAGTGGTTGTCAAGAGTTGTGCTAAAGCAGCGGGAGTCTTTTGCTCTTTCATTTTCCTTACCTTTTTAAAGAGCAGGAACGTACTGTCAGTGTTACCCTTCAACGCACTGCCAGCAGCTTCCACACTTTTTACTAGAATTGAAAAAATAAGCATTTTTATTTCACATTTTTTTGCCATCTATCTAAAAGTTAAAAGCTTTAGTTCCAGACAAGCATGGAATGTGTGCGAATGCTTTCAGTCAAGGGAAGAAACTGAATTTTTGAATCCACCGGCCACGACACGATACCCGTCAAGGTGGATGGCAATGCAGATGTATGAGTAAAACAAATGGTCAGACCTACCAGGTGATTTCATGGCATGGCCGACTTTGCTGGACCAGCCTATCGGGTGCAGGAGGGGACTCCACCTGTGGCACCAGAAGTCGGAGGTAGAGTTTTCGGGGGCGTCGCTTTGGTCTTCGTACACCAGCCGCAGGCGCCCACCAATCATTGAGTCTATGATGGCCACGCGGGTCCGACTCACGTGTTTAGGGTCCACCACCTCCACACGCATTCCTATTCTGAAAGAGGTCCTCATGCTCTCTGCCATCTACGAAGAGAACAGAAGGAAATGTGGCAAAAGGCAAAGAGATTAATTAATTCGGTAAAATTACACCATTCATTTAATTTTCTTTCATTATACTCTTTATGTGTGTAACACAGATGGGTCTCTATTTGTGAGCCAAATCATTTTCAGTCACCATTTTTTTTACCTTCAGGTAGAAGTCAACAGGTAGTGTGTTGGCCCCCACCAGCTTCTTCATCAGATACTCTTTCCAATCCGGGATGTTCTGCTTCACATCTATGGACACACAATTTGTCAAATTAGAACATATCCAGTCGCTAAAGTATCTGATCAATATATGTTTAAATTTATCAGTATCTGCTATATTAATCTTGATTCAATTCTAATGCTTCATTTAAAGTCCACTGAGCTCCACGTTTCTTAGGATCTCATCTTTACTGTCCTAATAGCATCAGGAAGCCCAAGAACCTTTGCAATTGCTTTAGTGGCTTACACGACTGTGACCATGGTCCTGCAGTTTTGTATTTGTTGTGTGAATCCTCACCTTGTGGTGGTACCAGCAGCTTGCTCGTCATGGCGCACCAACCAATCGGGTTCAGCTCTCCCGAAACGAGGCTGCACCAAAAATCGTGGCTGCTGTCGTGCTCAAAGCCTTCGTATCTCAAAAGGGCTTTGTATCCTGGGAGACAAGGGGTGACAGGAAGGCAAATGTCACTATCAATTCGACTGCATTGGCAAAATGTCTAAAATATGAAGCCATTTCTTCGGATTATGGATTAACTGTACTTTTGATTAAAATGACTATTTATTTATATCTAATATCAATACTGTTGCCATTGTAGTCTCTTTATTGTTGTCATTATGAGATTTAAATGGAGGGGTTTAGTGTGTCATAGATGAAGTGCTGTTTCAGAGGCCCAAGCTGAGGAAAATTCTGGAGGCTGAGCATTTGTAACTCAGTAAACTCATAAAATGAGTGTCTTTGGGTTTGGGGTTGTTGACCGGACAAAACAAGACATTTGAAGAGGTTACCTAGGGCTCTGGGTAATTGAGATGAACAATATTTTTTTCTCAAGTTTTACAGACCAAATGACAATGTCCATTCAAAATGTACAGAACAAAAGGCCTTGACAACTGCGGGCCACAAAAAAATGTCTATTACCAGAGGATGAATCCTAATGTTTTGGCAGACTTCATGGCCTTTTCTCTAGCCCAACATTGGGACTACTACTGGGAAGGCTATAAGAACAAATATCAGTGCAGTGTTTGTCCTTCCAACATTTTTATATAATGTAGTAATCACTGCAGCCTTTAGGGGATGCTAGACGGCTTCATCCCTTCAGTTTTTAGAGGTGATGTTTAAGGTGAGTTCTCTTGTAAACAAACAATTTGTGAAAACAGGTCACATTCATAATCATAAAACTGATGATTTGATGATCCGTGGCCTGTTAAAACAAACACGGACATACAGATGTGCATACCTGCAACCTGGATGACTGTAGCAATCCAGTAGACTTTACTGGGCAGCACTGCATTTGTGTTCAGGACCTCCACCTTCATCCCTACGATGATATCATCCCACTGGGCACACAGGGGAACCTGCAGGTGGGACGTCAGATGTTTCCTGTGTGAGGCGTTTTACGTGCTCCACGTCCATATATTCAACAACACTCTCTACTCTTTCTAATATTTACCTAATTTTCACTTTTTCACAATGTTCAATTAATTAATTCTTCATTAAGACAGTATCATAAACTGTTGTCGTAGCTACTGACAAACGTGTCACCTTACATTTGTGAGCTGGAGCAGTAGACGTTATTCACGCTGTTTAAAAGGCTCTGTGTGTGCAAGTATAACATTTAAATACGCTGGAGTAACTGCCCAACACAACACAACACAACAATATTAGAGACAAATCTACAGACACATTTACTGTATCTGTGAAATACACCTGACAGGTTGGACTCACGTGTCTGAAGCAGGACACTGATGCAGCCAGAGATGTTTCCTTCTCCAGGTAGGCTCCCCACTCAAAGCCTGCAGAAGCTGCTACGTAATGGAAAGAACAGAGAAATCACACAGCTGAAGTGAGATTGTGTCCTAATGTGTGTGTGTAAAGTGGATTTCCTCTTGTATCTGTGTGTATTCAGTGCCCTCACCATCCAATCCTGTGGGGGCTGGAGGAGCTTTGTTCACCTTGTTCAACACGGTGGCTTTTTTTGACGGGGGCTTTCCCTGGAGAGAGAAACATAAAGAAAGATTGTGCAAAGTCATCTCATTGTCCTCATTTTGGTAATCATGATGTCTTACCCTGTGTCTAGACCCAAAGCATATCAGACAAGGTTTTTTACTCACGATTCACGCAACAGATACACCCTCATTTTAGACTATGCACATCTCAGCTGCATCTCACTGCTGCAGCTGCATAGGTCTTATTAATACATCCATGGTATAGGCAGTCACTTCAGTGGAGTGGTCACACTGATCACATGGCAATGACATAACATTTGCGTTCTAGAGACAGTGGGGAACTTAATTATGCTAATATGTCTCCTAAATTCCCCTCAATCGCTTCCTTCCTCGAGGAAGAGATGCGAGGACGGAGGAGCCAAAGCCAAAGGTTTCAAAACCAGTCATTCAGATATGTAAAACTGTTTAACAGTCAATTATTACAACAATTATTACTGTTTTTTTATTTAAACCACCAGTTACAGTTTATGTACAGATCAGTGGTATTAGTTATAATTACTTAGGCTATTTATTTACTTGCATTATCCGCACACATTGGAATTTCCCCATTGTGGGACTATTAAAGGAATATCTTATCTTACATTGCACAATACACCACAGAATAGCAGAATGAGTGTATGTAGATTGTATTAGGGTTACAAACTGCTGCTTTGTGTGATGCCACAACACTTTATTGAATTATTCTAGTGTTAGATGTATCACATTATCTGTGGATCCACAGGATACTACAGAGAAAGCGCTGTGACAATAAACTGTGAATGAAGGTTGGGTTTTGGTGAGGATTAGATAAGTCAGCCATGCAAACATACAAATATCCCTCCAGTATGTGCATGGTGCGGACACTTTATAGGACTTCCACTCCTCGAGGTGCACTCCGTGATGGCGGGAGCGATTTCCGGGTCACGGGGGGAGGGAGGACGCGAGGAAGCGTAAGTTTGGGTAAGGACAAGCACCCACAGTTACCTGCTGTCTTCTGGTGGTTGCACAATACCCCTACCTGTGTCTCCACTGCCTGGCTGGAGCATTTCTGCGTCCTCCCCCTGTCAGAGCGTGTTGGACGGGCGGTGGAGACCGGGTTACCAGCGGTGAAACTGAAAACGGACGGAACAGCTTCGGGCTTTAGTGTGTTGGTCCGGCGAGTCACTAGCTTGTCCGACTCAAAGGCCTTCTCCTCTATGTAGTCTCCGTCCAAGAAGTGCTCACTGCAGACTCTGGCATTAGGGCCCATGTGTGGGTTCTTTCTCTTCAGGGCCGCTATCCACTGCAGCAGCACCGCTCTCCGTTTCAGCGGCATTAAATGAAAATGGATTGTTTTCTTCTTGGCTTTAACTCTGTAAAACTCGTTTTTACAACCGGGAGCGGCACAGTAGTGGCCCCCCTTGCGTCTTGTACTTCTCAACTGTGGCTCCTCGGTCTCCATCTTTCGGGGTCTCTGAAGTTTGTCTCAACTCCGCCGAGCAAACCAACCCGGTGACGTCGACGGTCGTGGTATTTCAACCGCATGGGGCAATGTTTACTTTTTCTTGTACACCGGGAGTGCATTCAGTAATCCCTTTTAACTTGGTTGACAGCTTCATTGCACATAATTACAAACAGTAAAAGAGTTAGAGAATAAATCAACTGATCAGTTAATTGTTCGATCAGTGGACATGTCAGTAGCAAAAGAAGCAAAAGAAGGCAGTATTTTGAAATTGCTTCCTTCCTCTGTCCAACAGTCCTTATATTATATTTGAGAAGTTACAACCACTTAATCTTTACAACTTGGCTTAAAAGTGATGTAAACGATAAATAATTTAAAATAGCTGGCCTGAATTCATTTTATATCACTGACCATTTTAATCTAGAATAATATTGCATCTTTTTTTCCCCATTGTTTAACAATATTCTATAATAAAAATGTTACATTTCATGACAAATAGAGAAAATGCTTTTTTTGTTTTATTTACAGTAATTGCTGTTTAATATCGAAGGAATTCAGCTTTTTTTAGGTCCACTGTTGGTTGCTTTGTGGTCCAGTCTCCAAGTTATAATGGAATAAAGTGCAGTCATACTCTTTGTACCAACTCACCAGCTCATCCAGGTGAATGACGCAGGCGGTGGGGTCACCTGTCTCGGAGGTGTGTATGTGTTTGAACTGGGTGGGGACGGCGGTGGTCTTGAGGAGCCGGCCCCGGCGGGCCTGCTGGTTCGGGGTATGGTAGTAGTCGTCCGGCTGGAAGTGCTTCTGGCAGACGAACAGCTTGTTGATAACGTGGAGCGGAGTGTTTACATCCATGTTGAGAGCAAACAGCCATTGCCTCAGTCTCTCTGGGTCGACGAGGGGGAACCGGTGAAAGGCGAGGCGCGGGCGTTTGGTGTTCGAGCAGGCGTCAACGCAGCACCTGTGAACCATTTGTGTGAACGTACGGAGGTCTCCGGTGAACCGAAGAGCGGGGAGAGAGAGCCAGACCCGCCCGCGGACAACCTCCCAGGTCAGTGCACTGATTTCAAGTCCAGCGCGGTCGTCTTCTTCTTCCTCCCCCCTTTTTCTGCAGTGACGACGGACGGCTTGCTGCGAAACACTGCCACCTTTTGTTCGTAATTATAAACGACGGAAATACAAATAAAGAAATGAATAAATGTGATATGTACTGGAGGTGCAGACATAAAAACATGGCGTCCTGGATTTGAATATATCACTCAGTGTAAACACCATGTAGCTTCAACTACAGCTGAACCAGCTAGTCACAGAACATTTTCCACTAAATATCTTTGGGTGTTGGACTATTGGTTGGATAAAACAAGCAACTTGTAACGACCACGTCTGGCTTGGCTAGGACATAGTGATTTTTCTGACGTTTAAGATTAATTGATCGAGAAAAGAGTCGACGGCTTATTCAAAAATGAAAATAATCACTACAAATGATAAATGATCCTGTCAGAAAATGTGAGGTAAAATGACTTTTCCAACCCTCGAGCTACTTTAAGGGGAAACAAACCTAACTTGATAGGGTACATCTAAAATGTTTCAACCTCAACAAATCACACAGAAACAGGTAGAATAGAATAGTAGCGCAGGTTTTTTGGCTGAATGTTCGTCTTGTTCGACCACTGAAGCAACAATAATCACAAAAACCCCAGAAATGGCTCAATCCTGGTGCTTTTCAGTACTGAAACACTCAGCTCACATCCCCTTGACGATATGTATTTCACATGGTTTTGCCTTCCTTCATCACTAAACATACTCCATTAATCTTTGTGACCAAACCTAGTCAGAAAAATATGCTCTGCTGATTTTTGATTGCATGTAAATCTCAAGTCTCCAGTATCACAAAAAATCTCAATATGATGATGATGATATGATTATTTTCTTGTATAGAAATAGTTCCAAAATACAACTTTTCTTATACTGTAGACTTGCTAATGTCTCACGTATTCCAAGATGGCAGCAAATAATTTCTACTTGACGGATGCAGAAGCTTTATAGGAGCCTCCACGGTCTACCCTCTGAGAGGAACAAGAACAAAACTGTCAGTAGTGCAAGTGGTAAAGAGGACAGTCATTGAGTTTGAAGAGAAGGGGCAGCCTTTGTCTGTGTCTCAAGAGGACACGAGTTGGGAAATAAACAGCTGGATGAAGAGCTGTGAGGTGTCACAGAAAGAACCTGGTCACTGCTTCTCCACAAGAGAATGATGGTAATGTATCTGTCAGTGGTCTACAAGCAGTGGTGGAGGTTCAGCAGACAGAAAATGCAAACAAATACACCAGTCAGTATTGTTTGTTTTGTTCTTACCTGCAGACGTGCCAGTATGGAGGACTTCTTGGAGTTGGAAGAATAGGAACGTGAACATGATATACTGCAGAAACGCTTGGTCTTTGAAAAGAAGGTGCTGGTAGTGCCTTTGGTGCCGCACATCTCACACACCACTGTAAAGATAAATAAATACAGTTTACAGAAAACATCAGCTAACTTTAACAGTCCATGGAGCTTATACAGATGTGTTTTTTATTGGTTCAAGTGCTTCGTGGAGAAGTTTCTATTACTCCGTTTGACTCTTTTAACAATGTTAAAAAGGCATTCAAAGCAACAGACAGAAAAGTGAAATTTTGACTTTCAACCATAGTTTTCTTGTATCCTCGTTTGAACCTTACCTGGTCGTTCCTCTTTGTTTTTGTCCCCCGGCTTCACCGCTCCCCCCGTAGGATGTTCTCTGTCACCTCCTCTATCAGTATCTTTAAACTGAACGTGCACCGTTTCATTGTATTCTGCCTGTAACGAGAAAAAAACTGAATGGTAAACAGAAAGCATGAATGTGTCTCTGATATTACACTGTTAGAAGCTCTCACGGTGACAAAAACTCTGGCTTTCTCTATGCAGTGACCTTCTCACAATAACAACTACTCACACTTACTGCGCGCTCTCTTGGTTCAGCTGTAATGCCCCGCCGTTGGATAGCAGGCAGGCACTTACTACAACCCACTCCACTGCAGGAGAAACAGTGCGGGCGGACGAAGACAGTAGGTGCAGCTCCCGGCCTCAACTTCAGACCCCCTGTGGACGGTCTGGGCTCGAAGTACTCCTTGCCAAAATGCTCGCTGCAGAGGTGAGAATTGGACGTGGCGACCCACTGGGTGCGCGTTCGCTGGACCTGCTTCTCCCATTTGCGAAACTCCTCAGGGTCCTTGGGGAATTTAAACAGTGTCACACCATCTTCAGCAGTTTTCCCACATCCATAGGCCACGCAGTGGTACGGCATCCTGTGTTCTGCTCACGACAGGACGCTCGGTGCCTCACAGTACAAAGCAGGTTCTACAGCCACTGCATCCCTTCCTGTTTTGAATTGTTCTATGAGCTCTGCAGAGGAAAGTGATGATTGTATGTTACAACTAGGAGACAATTTCATAATTTTACCACACAAAATACACATGTGTAACATTTACTTTTAGATCATACATATGTATAGACACTATAGATAAGAAAACAGTTGTTGAGCAGGGGCAGAGACAGGCAGAGCTGGATGAGTTTCTATAATATCTATGCTGTTTCTTGGCCCAATATTTCTTCACTACTGCATTATAGTCAAGTTACACAGTAATGTCTCACTGAAATTAAGATTAATAATAACTAGCCGGATTATATCAAGCCCAAACACAGTTTAACAATCAAAACATGTAGCTTGTAGCTACAACAGATAATGAAACCATCATTTCTAGGCGATACAAACTCATAAGAACCAGAAAATGGAAACATTTGTTAAATTAACAAAAAGTAAACGCCATTACCAGGCCCAAACATGCCAAAGAAATACTTTAAAATGAATGCTGCTGTTACACTCACTGTTATGAGCCAACTCACACAGATAACTGGTTTATAAGCGAGCTGCTCCAAACATAAACAAAAGTATGACTAGCTCACATGCTACACGCTATCTGCAAACAGCACGTTGTGAAGCAGCGGTTAGCTTGATGTGACTTAAAGTGGCTACTTACACGGGCTAATAGTATCTGGGCCTTCACTTGAGTGTTTCATATCACTGCAACACTATAGATGTAAGTTGTTCAACTACATCGTAGCCACCCCGGCACCGTATTGTGGTCGCATACCTTTGACGTCACCGTCGTTAGGCACAGACAAGGCATTATGGGAGTTGAGGTTTTAGCAGAATTGGATGTTATTCAACTAATCTCGAATTAATTCAGTACAGGTATAAACGTGTTAAGATGTTGGCTTATTCACCAAGAGCCTAGGTAAAGTAAAAGTTAGTAGTAAAAACTTAAAAACTACATCACTTGTTATATGTTGGTTTTGTCTTTAATCAAGATGTGAGGGAAGAAAAGTATTGGTAGAGTCAGCTGGTAGAGCATTAGGGTCTGTATTGAGTAAAATGAAATTGTGTCCTGACCATGTTTTAACATTTTCAAAACTTGTTTTGATTCATATCGGTATTTAAGGATAGCCCTGATAGTAATGCTATCCAGAGTTGAGCCACAAGATGCTTTCTTGGGTATACACAAATATACTGCAAAGTGCTACATTTTATTTTCAGGAACACTTTGCAGTGTAATATAAATATAATCAAACACAAACTACTAAAGAGCCATAAGGAACATTAGAAAGGGAGATTTGGTATAAGCCAAAGCATAGAAACTGAGGAAGACAAGAAAGGAAGATTACAACACAGAACAGAAGAAAGAGAGGGAAGAACTGGTACCCCACCACTGACAATTGAGCATGTTGTCCTGGAGTCATTTTGACCCCCCAAAAAATGTTTTGCTGTCAAAATATGTTTTTTTTTTTTTTTACATCAAATGGTCTGAAAATAACAGGCGTTGTTCAATACTATGTTCTTCATCATTACAATAAATTTTAAATAATTTGATTGAATTATGGGTGTCATTATGACACCTGTTGTCCTCTGGGGTCAAAAAGACCTCGCAGCACAAAGCGGTGTAATGGGGCATATTCTCACACCATACTGCTACACAAGCGCGCGCACACACACACACACCCCACACACACACACACACATCTTTGATGTGCCAAAACATCAAAGGTGATGGATCAAGCAATTCAAACAAAAACAGGTCTTTTTTCAGAGATGTTGGGGCATTTCACATTTTAGTCAGAAAGAGACAGGCAGGTCAATGAGGAGGCAGAAGCGCTATACTGTACAGGAAGCTCATGAGACAGTTTTTGACCTCACCGATCCCCCCCTCTCTGGAACCATCACCTTACCGCGGTGGAGAGGTTTGGGTGCTCCTATGAACCTGAGAGCTGTGTTGTCGGGAGCAATATGCTCCTGGTAGGGTCTCCCAAGGCAAAGTGGTCTCAGGTGAGGGGCCAGACTAAGAATGTGTGTGAATGTACATAGAAGATGTAAAGAGACCTGGCCCGGAGGAAGCCCGGGGCCCCCGTCTGGAGCCAGGCCTGGAAGGGGGGCCCGAAAGAGAGCGCCTGGTGGCCGGGCTTGCCACGGAGCCCGGCCGGGCATAGCCCGAAAGAGTGAC